TCACCAGCAAGCCGTACGGAAAGGCAGGTGCCAAGGACCTCTACTTCCGCCCCGACCAGTTCACCGTCATCGAGCACAGCCCTCGACATCTCGTAGTAAGGATCGAAGCCCCAGGCTTCCGACATACAGTCTGCGTCGCCCATGCACCCCACTCACGAGCCAAGCCACACGAGAAGGACATCTTCTGGGAGATGATCGAGTGCGCAACTTCTAACCACAATATAAACATCTTCTTCATCGACGCCAACGCTCGGACGGGCAGCTTATCCAGCCAGGCAATCGGCGATCAAGGCCTCAAGCAAAAGGAGGACGACAACGGCGAACGCTTCCACAAGGTCCTGCAAGGTAATTCTCTCATAGCCGCGAATACCTTCAAGAGCGGCGGCCAGGACCACTACACATGGGATTCAGGCAAGGACGTGCACAGACTGGACTACATAGTGGTTGGCCACGAGCTCTTTGACTCCATCTCCTACACGTCCGTAATGTACGGCATCGACACAGAACACGACCACACACACAAGAACGACCACTTCCCTGTCAAGGCTAACCTCGCATACATCGTCGAGACCACATACCAGCACGGCACGCCCAAGCTCGACATCGCTAAGCTCGACTCCGAGACAGCCAAGAACGACTTCCAACGACGACTGCAGCAAATCCAACACCCCACTTGGGAGACCAACATCAACGACCACACTAAGAGCATCGTCGATCAGATAAAGGACGCAGCCTACGCCAGCTTCAAGAAGCAGCACCATGCCCCCCGCAAGCCCTACATTACCGAGGCCTCCTATGCGCTTCTTCGATTTCGACGCACCCTCCTCAAGACGATCCGCATCGTGAAAAGGAATGGCATTGGCTCCAAGAAATCACGAAGAAGGATCCGATACACCGCGCACCTCATCGCAAACCAGTCGGCTTCAGCGTCCCCTGACGACGTCATCCACCTCATGGACCTCCCTGGATACACTCAGCTGATGATCAAGACCATCCTCTTCATCAACCACGCGGACCCAGACCACACCACGGCTCCATACCACGACAGCACCTACGGCACAACCACCTTCACCACAAACCTTTTCGACTCATACATGAGCTTCATCAAAGATACCGACCGAGTTCTTAGAAACCGCCTCGACCACGACCGCGACGCCCACCTCGAGCGCCTATCCGACAACATGATACTATCAGCCGCAGGGAACGCCCCGCGGAAGGAATGGGCAAACGTGAGGGCACTACTCACATACGGCGGACGCACACCAAAGAGAACTCCGACTCCCAAAATACGCCAAGACGATGACGGCGCTCCACTCACAACGCCACAAGCCATTGCGGAGCACGCCCTTCGATACTACGGCAACATCGAGAACGGCATCAACACCGACATCGAAGGCGTCGTCAAGCACTACAACGACAAGACTGCCCACACCAAGCCGATACCCAAAATCGACAACGTACAGACCATCCACAACCTGACAGCCGCCCTGGCAGCCGCCAAGAAAGGCAAACGCGGAGGGCCCGACGGGAACACCGATGACATGGCACGAGCAGCGCCGCGCCAGATTGCCCGACTTCTGCACCCCATCATGATGAAGATGCAACTGATGACGACGGAGCCTATTTCGGCGAAGGGCGGCTTCTCCACCCATTTCTCCAAAGGACAAGGACAGCTTCATCTGCAGAAGGCATACAGGGGCATCCTTCTGAACAACACTATTGGCAAGATCAACAGCAAGTTCCTGAGAAGCCTCTTCCGCGACATCTTACCCGACCTGCTCATGGACACACAATGCGGCGCAGTCCCTCACAAGGCGACTGACTTCATCACTCACACCGCCTACACCTTCTTGGACGACTGCCGTACGCAGGGTCGCACGGGCAGCATCCTCTTCCTGGATTTGAAGGAAGCCTTCCACTCGGTAATAAGGGAGTTTATTTTTCAGCTGCCGACTCAGGAGGACGAGCTCGAAGATGTCATCGACAACATCGAGATCCCCATATGCCTCCTCCCATCCCTACGACAACGTCTTCGATGCCCTGCATATCTCAACGCCCACGTCGACGACTCCCACCTATGCGCCCTCGTTGCCGACCACCACACGGCCAACTGGATGACCGCCAAGGGCACCGACGCATACGTGATCCCTCGCACCAGTACCAGGCCAGGGGTGCCATACTCCGACGCGGCTTTCAACATGCACTTCTCCCTGATGCTTCAGGCCATCGCCGACGACGCTGAAGGGGCAGAAGACGGTGAAAACGGCCACCACATCCGACCCTGCGACAACCCGCTCTTCTCCACTGCCCCTCATCAAGGAGGCAAGCTGACCAACATGTCCTTCGTAGACGACCTCACCGACTTCAACTCGACCGCACACCACTCCGACATCATTGACATCACGAGAACGTCAGCCGAACGTCTATGCCGTATAGCCTTCACCTACGGGCTCAAGCCGCACCCAGACAAGACCAAGGTCATCATATCCTTTAACGGGACGGGCTCCAACGTCGTGCGCAGCAGGCTTGCACAGCAGAACATTACATCAATCAAGCTGAGCATCATGTCGATCTCGGTCCAAATCACAGACCAGCACCGACTCTTAGGCACCATCCTAACCAATGGCAGCATGGGCCCCGAGGTGCAGAATCGCATGCAACGAACCGACGCTTCGGCACGAGCTCTGGAGAGGCAAATTCTAAGACGTCGACGCCTACCCCGCAAAACGAAGATCAAGTACGTGCACGCCCTCTCGACGGCCTCATTGACCTTCAACCATCACGTCTGGCCAGCACTGACTAAGACCGACCACCAGCGCATATCCAATGCCTATTCGAAGCCCTATCGCACGGCAGCTGGACTACCCAAAGCCAACTCGCAGCTCCATCATTTCACGGCCACCGAAGTAGTAGCCTACACCGGCATCCCCGACTTCGACCACCACCAGTCTGCTGGACGGCTGCGATACCTACCACGGCTTCTACGATACGCCCCTCAGCAGCTCCTACAACTGCTTGACAACCAGCGGCGGAGAAAGGGCTCATGGACATACATGCTCTTCCAGGACTTCGACTTCTTGCGCACATACCTGGACGACCAGCGCTGGCCCACGACCAGCAAGCTCGACCCCGACATCATTGCATGGGCTCGCACCACGCCGAAGCACTTCACTAACTCCGTCAACAGGGCCGTCACAAACTACATCCGCGCCTCTAAAGACCGCGCCCACGCCGACAAGCTGACCAAGGTGCTAAGACCCGACGGCCCCATCGGGGCGGGCACCACGCCATCACGTGACAACGGCGACAGCAACTTCATTTGCTACGAATGCGGAGTAGTAACCAAGACCAAGCAGGGCATGGCAATACATATCGGGCGGGAACACCGACGACCTGATCATCCGCGAAACTGGGCAGCGGGTACATCGTGCAGAATATGCCGCCAGAACTTCCACTCCTTCGCCAAGCTAGTAAAGCATTTAACCACAGTCGCCCGATGCCGACGGTCATGGTATATGTGGTATCAACAAGGACCTGCCCTAACCGAGGAGGACGTGGCCAACAATCAGGCGATCTATGCTGCCAGCATAGCAGACAACAAACGCAGAGGCCGCCCCGAACTATACCATCCCATCCCTGCCCACGCATCCGACGTCACCCCCTTGCCCTCCCTTGACATATCACCTTCACCACCGCCCTTTTTCCCGACTGTAGCAGAGCTTACACCACCACCACCAGCCCACCACCTTCGGACACCGACCAGAAACAGATCCCTGCTCTACCTCACCAACACCGATAGATATCCGAACGATCTGCTCGACATTACAGACCAACGACTATGCTACAATGGAATGGTGATGGAACTGGTTACTATGGCCTTTGATGATCTCTACTCCGACGAACACCCATCCCAGTATGACGCCCTTGACTTGATCCACCAGCACATTCGACAGGGTGACTTCGCAGGAGTAACGATCAACCTCTCACCCAACACTTGGACTGACCAAGGTGATGGCGACATCCACGACAGAACGGCAGCATCCTCCAGAACAGCATCGGACCCATGGGGAAGAGTTAACCTTGGAGGCAGGGCAGCAGAACGTCGACTGATCGCGAACCACCACGCCCGCCTCGCCATCCACATCATCCACGCCGCCTTCATGGTCGAAGTACCTGTGCTACTAGCACAGGCCGCATCCCCAGCAGGACCGTCGCTGATGTGGACCACCGACCAGATGCACTGCGCTACGGAGAGAATGGCCACGAGGCGACCTACAATGATCGACGGCAGCCTCTATGCCATGTACTACGGCCTCCAGGAGCCAGGCAACCCACTCGACAACTTCTTCAACTCCGTAGTGGGCAGCCTGCCCCCATGAGGTGAGGTCGGACTGCAGCCCGCAGATCCGACGACACGGTCTCTGGCCGTAACATGGCCCACGAAGATCAACACGGGCGACCTCCAGAGCAAGACGACCACAGAGCTCTGGGAGGCCGCCAACATCATCATGGACGCCCCCTCCTGGGGGAGGGGGAGGAGGACACGGCCCAGGCTTGATCTGGGCCGCCACCCGCGGGCAGGCCGTCAAGGGGGTGGATTCCCTTCCTCCTCAGGCCTTTAATGAGCCCCCTCCCCCCGCTCCACTTGCCACCCCCTTGTGGCCTCTCCCTTCTCCTCCCTCGCGTCTCCCCCTCTCTTCCGCCCCGAAACTCTTGGGCCCCCCCTTCTTTTTTTTTCGGTCCCTCCCCTTGTGGGGCCCTGGCGGCTTCGGACCCTGGGCCCTCCTGGCGGGGGGGTCTGTGTAGAGGGGTAGCCCCCCCACGCGCCTCGGGCGCACGCGCGGCGGGCCCGCGCGGACGGCTGCGTCACACGACACATAGCCGAGAGCGAAGAGCGAAGAAGAAGATGCCCTCCACGCCGCCGCCGCCGTTGTCGTCGCCGCCCTGGAAAGCTTCGCGCATGCCCCCCCGCGCCCCGGCCGCGCGGCTGGCGCCCCCAGGGCGGGGCGGCGGCCTCCCTGGAGGCGCTCGGGGGCGTCGGCGGCGAGGGCGGCAGGCGTGGCGCGAGCCCCCCCCCCTGCCCAGGGGAAGGATAAGACGAGCGATCAGTCGTAAGCATCATAGTAGTTCTAGTTATCATCACCATCATCATCAGCATCATCAGCATCATCATCCTCATCATCATCATCCTCATCATCATCATCATCCTCATCATCATCCTCCTCCTCATCATCATCATCACCATCATCATCATCATCACCATCACCATCATCATCATCATCATCATCATCATCATCATCATCATCATCATCATCAGCGTCATCACCATCATCAGCGTCATTACCATCATCACCAGCATCATCACATCCTCATCACCATCAGCATCAACAGCATCAGCATCAGCATCAGCATCAGCATCAGCATCATCATCATCATCATCATCACCATCATCATCAGCATCGTCATCATCATCAGCAGCATCATCAGCATCGTCATAATACGAGTCACAATGCGAATAACAGTAATCATCTCAATCATCATGAGCAATATTGATAGCCGGCATCCTGGGACGGGTACCCTTTGATGTTCTGTGTGTTTTGGCCGGCGGAGGGTTTCATGTTCTTCAGGGATCTTCTTCTGGCCTAGGTCCGACTCCAAAAGGCGCCCGCACAGCAAGGATAACGCGAGCCATGACCACAACCATGGCACCAGTACGGAGAAACGTTGATAGCACTACTCAGAAGTGCGGGGGGGCTCCCTCTCTCCCTCCTCCTCCTCCTCCTCCTTCTCCTCCTCCTCCTCCTCCTCCTCCTCCTCCTCCTCCTCCTCCTCCTCCTCCTCCTCCTCCTCTCTTTCCCCCGTGTCAGCGGATTCGGCCTCCTCCTGCTGCGAACGCCGGCAGGGCACCGCCCGGCCGCTGTTCGAGAGCGTGGTCACCTCCGAGCGGCCCGGGCGGAGGAGGCCTCATGTTTTCTGGCTGGGGCTGGCGTCCCGCCGCGGCCCAGGCGGGTCGCCAGGAGTGTTCTAGGCCGTCCTCCGTCGCCTGTGGTGTTCTAGGCCTCCTAGCTGGGGTCGCAGTAGATAGGGGTCGGAAGATCGCGCCGCATCGCCGATGCATCGCCGATGCATCGACGATGCGGCTCGATGCGGAGCCCTATCGGCGATGCGGCGCGATCCTCCGACCCCATCTGCTCCGACCCCATCTGGGAGGCCTCGAGGTGTGACATGTCCTCATTGATGGGCGCAACCCCCGCCAAGATTTCGGTATGACTGGCGAGCTTCTTCCCCTCAGGGCTGCCCTCACCTGACCTCCTCCTCCCTCGCCCTACCTCCTCCCCTCCTCCTCTTCAACTTCCCACCATCGGCTCCACGTTCCGTGGAGCAAGCTTAGGTCATCAGACTTGCTTGTTTGAGTGGCGCCGGCGATGAACAATCAACATTGAAGGTTTCCGATCCTCGAACGATGACGATGCCGACGACGACGACGACATCGACGAGGACGACGACGAGGACGACGACGACGACGACGACGACGACGACGACGACGACGACGACGACGACGACGACGACGACGACGACGACGACGACGGCGGCGGCGGCGGCGGCGGCGGCGGCGACGGCGCGCGAGGCCCAGCACGGCGACGTGGCCCCTGTCCGTCGCCCTGGCGGCCAGCGCGGCGGCGGCCGCCTGCCCCGCCGACGGGGCGCCCGCGCCCCGCAGCGCCCGCCGTGCACAGCCGCCGCCGCCGCCGCGGCGGTCGCCGTCGTCGTCGTCGTCGTCGTCGTCGTCGTCGTCGTCGTCGTCGTCGTCGTCATCGTGCTCGTCATCGTGCTCGTCATGGTCGCCGTCATTGTGCTCGTCGTCGTCGTTGTCGCCCTCGTCCTCGTGCTCGTGCTCGTCCTCGTCGTCGTCGTCGGTGGTCGCCGCGGTGGTTTTCGCGGCCGGCTTCGACCCACCGAGAGGTCATCGACACGTCAGGATTCCCACCTTGCCAGGTCGATCGGCGAATTGGCACTTCGCGGATCACGAGGGGTGCTTCGGCCGCATTTTTTGCTGGGCTGCGCCCGCCTGGTCTGGTCCCAGGCCGCTTTCATGTAAGCATGTTTTGCTAAGCGATAGGTTCACCCCTGAGCCCCAAGGGGGTAAGTCGTCGTCGTCGACGTCGTCGTCGACGTCGTCGTCGTCGTTGTCGCTGTCACCGCCGTTCGTCGTCACAGTCGCTGCTATTCGTCGTCGCCGCCGCCGCCGCCATCGTCGACGCCGTGGCCGCCGTCGTCGTTGCCGCCGCCGCTGCAAAGGGGGGCGCTGCGTCCGCTACCCCCATGGGGGCCCCGTCGGCTTCGACCCTCCCCTCTCTGGAGGTCGTGGATGCGGTGGGCGCCCTCAGGGGGATGCGGCACACGTCCTCCTCCTCCTCCTCCTCCTCCTCCTCCTCCTCCTCCTCCTCCTCCTCCTCCTCCTCCTCCTCCCAGTTGCGACTGGTCGGCTCCGCGCCCGCGCGCGGCAGAGCACCGCAGCCGCCGCCGCCGCCGCCGCCGCCCTCTTCGTCGTCGCCGTCGCCGCCGTCGCCGCCGTCGCCGCCGCCGCCGCCGCCTCCGTCCTCTTCGTCGTCGCCGTCTTCGCCGTCGCCGTCGCCGACGCCGACGCCGCCGCCCCGCCGACGGGGCGGCGCGCACGCGCGGCGCTCTCCTCGCGAGCGCCCGCGCGCCGCGGCGCACCGCGGCGTCGTCGGGGCGGCCAGGGCCTGGCGTGTGGGGGCGGCGGCGCAGGCCCGGGAGCAGCCCCGGGAGGAGCCCGGGGGCGGAGGCTTCTAGGGAGCAGCTCCGGCGCGGCGTGTCCTGGGCTTTTTCGGGGCCCCTTGGCATCGCTCGGGCGCGTGCACCTCCTCAGGGGAACCAGAAAGCGGCGTAAACGTAAAAGCTCCGAGGTCCGCGCGGATTTCTCGGATCGGCGCTGGGGCCCCCCGGCGGCGCCTCCGGCGCCGCCCCTGGCGCGCTCCGCGCGCCAGGGAGGGGGGTCCAGCGCCGATCCGAGAAATCAGCGCGGACCTCCGAGTTTTTACGTTTGTGTCACTTTGTGTTCCCCTACTCCTGTCCGAGCGATGGCGAGGCCCAACCGGAGAGGCAGAAGCACGATCCGGGACGAAGCGCCCGCCGACAGGGGAAAAGGGGTCGGAGACCTTTGGGAGCCCTCGTGCTCGAACATTGGGGGACAGGAAAGGGGTGTGGTGTAAAGGGGTGTGGTGCCAATGCTGGATCTGGCAAGGTTGCCTATCGTAGATAGCATCGCCATTTCCACGATTGGCACCACACCCCTTTACGCCACACCCCTTTCCGACCTCCAGAGGACAGAGCACGCGACTTCAGAAGTCCGGGGAGGGGGAGGGACAGGCACTGGAACCTGCATGAGTCGGAGAAGAAAAACAAACGCCATGAACACAAACGTTTGGCGCTCCGCGCGGCGTCCTTGGACCCGCGCGGGGCCCCCCTGACGGCGCCTCCAGGCGCCGCCCCTGGCACGCTCCGCGCGCCAGGGAGGGGGTTCCAGCGCAGATCCGAGAACTACCCAGACATCCGACGTCTCGATTTTTTCGAGACACGGCCCCCCGACCTCCCGACCACTTCCCCGAGACTGGTTTTTCACCCCGAGTCGTTTTTTGACGGTCCCGAGGCCCAGCGAGGGCCCCGAGAGGCCGAAACCGACGAAAAACCTCCGTCCCGATTTTTTCGAGACGCCCAAGGTCTGGGTACGCGCGGAGCGCCACCAGTTTTGTGTTCCTGCCGTGTTTTGTCCCGATGGACTCTGCGCGAGTCTCGAGCCTCCCGGGGGGGGAGAGCCCCCGTGGCCGCGGCGGGGCGCGCGAAGCCCGGCGGCTGCGCAGAAGGCAGGAGAGCTTCTGAGATGAGGGGAGGGGGAGGGAGGAGGAGGGAGGAGGAGGAGGAGGAGGGAGGAGGAGGAGGAGGAGGGAGGAGGAGGAGGAGGAGGAGGAAGAGGAGGGAGGAGGAGGAGGAGGAGGACTTGCAAGAAGAGACCCCCCCCTGACTCTGGCCGCTCGTTCGCGCCGCCAGGTCACAGGGGGGGCTTTCTCGGGATGGCTCCTTCCCCTCCTGCTCCTCCCCCCTTCAGCTCGGCCGTCTCGCAGTGCAGGAGCGGCTGAGGCGCCGTCACGAAGGGGCAGGATTGGCCCGTACGTAGCGGTCTTGGTTCATGGAGTATTTGTGTCGGCGGGCCTGCGTCATACGTGTTTTCGCATTATGAGATGTGGTGCGATTGGCGCCAGTAGAGAAGCGCCATTTGAAAGTGGCGAGGTGCAGTGGTCGTGGTCTCTATCGCCAGACATGTTGGACATGCCGCTGCAGCCCGGAAAATCATCCAGCTGGTATTCACCATGCACGCCCACGGACTCGTTAGGGTCCTGGGCACCTCCACGGCCACCATCCAGTTTCATTCGGGCGGGTGGTAATGGGGAGTGACCCACATGGGGGGTGAAGAAGAAGGCCCTGAAGTGGCCCTTCGGGGCCCCTTTTGGACACCGGCGGCTGGCTCCAACAGGGGCCCGACAGGGCCCTTCTTCCAACCCCCATGTGGGTCACCTCCCACTGCCACCCGCCCGATTCATGTCGCGACTCGAGCGTGGTGCCGCCGCCACCGTCGCCGCCTCCGCCGCCGCCGCCGTCGTCGTTGCCGCCGTGGCCGCAGCCCGACGGCGCTCGCCCACGGCCCGCCCGGGCGGCGCGTCGGCGCGAGCCCGCGCGGCAGCGCCCCCGAGAGCGCGGCGGTCGTGCGCCGCCAGGCCGCGGCGGCCGTGAGGCAGCAGGGTGCGCACCGAGGCCGGCGCCCCACTTCACGCCGCGGCGGGGGGAGGGCTGGAGTCGCGCGTGTCCCTCTGCAAGAGGATTCAAGAAGAGTCGAGAAATTGGCCAGGTGGCGATTTGTCGTTTTTTTTTGTTTTTTGGTTGTGTGACGATGTCGGACGACTGTTTGACCACTTTGTACGGTTCTTCAAACATCCACCTGCAGGAGGACATGCCCGACACAAGGGAAGGTGGAGGAGGGGGGGGGACCCGAGTAGACCTAAGATGCGTGAGTAGGTACCAGTTTCCTCCACTCGTGTGACTTTTGGATCTGCTTCAAGGCGAGTATGCGCGGCGCGAGTCCAAGGCGAGAGCCCCGTTTTGTGACCCACCAGCCTCCCATCAGTGTATCTGTTTGATTTGTTTACGGCGAGTGGGCGCGGCCACAAGGCGAGAACAGCATTTTCAAAGCAACTCGCCCTCTATATGTTGCAACAGTTGGAACCCCCAAGCGTTCAGATCGTAGACAAAGAAAATGTCTCGAGCGAAACGCCGGGCCCGTCCTAACGATACGTCTGGTGGTGCGGAAGGGAGGAGCTGTGTACGCATAGTGAAAGGAAAGGAAGGAAGGGGAGGGTTGGGAGGAGGAGAGGTGAAGAGGGAAGGAGCAGTGGTAGGAGGAAGGGATAGGGGGGAGGGGGAAGTAGGGGGGGAGGGAGGGAGGGGGGGAAGGAGGGAGAGGGAGGGGGGGGGGCGTGGTGGCAACGGCGAACATGGCGACGACGATTATCGAGGAAGCTCCATGGAGGGCTCGCGCCGCTGAAGGTCTTCGGCGCCTTTGATGACTACAATGACGATGACCATTGACGAAGCACCCCAGAGGGATGGCCCGGCTGTGGGTCTCTGGCGCCCTTGACGACGACGACGACGACGGCGACGCCGACCATCGCGACAACGACCACGACGAAGACGACCACGACCTCGACGATGACGACCACGGCGACCACGACGACGACGACGACGACGACGACGACGACGACGACGACGACGACGACGACCTTGGGTTGTCGACGACCCCATCCGGGGTACGTTCTGACCGTACTTGTGAGGCGGTCACCGTCATGACCTCGAGGGGCCCAAAAAGGGCCAACAGATTTTAAGAGCCTCGATGCCGAGACCGCGATCCTGAGTGCTCGGCGCCTGACGACAGCGACGAGCGCATCCAGTCGTCTCCAGAGGTTCGGGGCCCCTGCGGAACCTTTCGAGTGGCCCCTGGAGGCACAAAGATCAGGAGGGGAAGAAACACACAGACACAGTTAATCGCCGATTCCCCAGAAAATATGGGAACATATGGGCAGTGGGGGGAAGACAAAAACCTAGAAAATATTGGAAAATATGTTGAATCGTTTTATTTGTGTGTATTTATTTGTGTGTCCCATGGCCCCTTCAAAAGAGGGCCCCGAACGTCCAAAGGCCTGCGACCCTGGGTCCTTCGTCGCCACCGCCGACGGTGAGGACGACCACGACGAGGACGAGGGCGACGATGAGGACGACGACTACGACAACGACGTTGATCGACCAGACCCTCCGGAGGGATCGCGCCGCTGAAGCTGTTCGACGCCCTCAACCTGCAGACCCCGCCGTGCGCCGCGCCCACTTCCGTGGCCCCTTCGGCGCAGGCCGCAGCCGCCGTCGCCGTCGCCCCGAAGGGCCGACGAGAGTCCAGGTTGGAGGAACTGGCCTTCTTGGGCATCCAGAGGCCTCTGGAGGCCTTCGGGATATTCGGGGACCTCCACCTCCCAAGGTCTCCCCCCTCTTTATTCACAGACAGTGCTTGCACTCGGGGGCTCTCACGTGCGTTTCTGAGGGATTGAATGAGAGATCATAGCGTGAATTACCTACCCCGCTTTCGCTTCCAGGCAACACCAAGCCATACCACGCGCCTCCTCGTCAAGCGGCCTGACCAGTACAGGCTGCAATTTGGCATCGTTTGGTATCTCTTGGAAGCGAGGGTGGTCAAAAGCGAGGTAGGTTTGTTGTCCCCCTATGAGAGTCCCGAGGACTCGCCACGTTCCGGGCTGTTGCCGCCCCGGTGCCGCCCGCTTCCGCTTGTGGGGGTGGCCAGGAGCTTCGCCACGTTCGGGCCAGTTGCCGGCCGTTGCCGCCTGTGTGGGGGTGCCCCGAGGATTTGGACACCCGAAATGGGTACCGAAAGAATGGGTACAATGCCCAACAACAAATGTTGCCCCAAACCAACAGCGGCCGCTGTTGGGCAGGCGGCCTTCTGTCTCGAACGGACACAGGCCGCGGCGGCGTGGACAGCGAATCCGGTTCAGAGTGAGCAGGAACTGCTGCTGGACATCGTACCCATTCTTTCCGTGCCCATCTCGGGCGTCCAGGGAGGATGCAGACCTGCTCTTCGAAGAGGACCGCGGAGACGCTTCTGCATCACGCATCTTACACATCCACAGTGCCATACCTTCCTGTTTGGGGTCCACGCTGGCGGAAAAATCCGCTGGTTTCTGGGCCAGGCTCGGCTCACTGGCCGCTCCCGGCCGCGCAGGTCGGGTTGCTCTGTGAGCAGGCAGGTGCTGCTCAGGCTCGCGCAGGGGGGTCGAGGGAGCTGTGGGGGGGTCCTTGGAGCTGTTCTCTCCCTGCTCGCTCCCTCCGTCCTACCCTCACGTCGGGCCTGTCCCTCTACAGGAGGAATATTCCAGACGATGGGGGATGTTTGTAGCATGTTTGTTAGTTTGGGCGCATTGTCGGACGATTTTACCCCCATCTCGATCTCAGCTCCGATTCCACCCTCATCCTGGCATCGCTCGGACGTGTGCATTTTTTCTCGGCGAGAACCATCGAGGACCATCCTGGACCATCGAGCATAAAAAACACGCACGAAACCGACAAATGCACTGGACATGGACGCCCGAGCGACGGCAAGTCGTCGCATCACCTCCCTCGAAGCTTCGCACGGCGAGGGCCCGCACGGGGGGCCGCCGAAGGCAGCCGCTTCACTTTCCTCTGCCGGCCCAGGCTGCACGCAGTTTATCGTTGACGAACGAAAAACACACACCCATGCCCATAGGGAGGTCGTTGGGAGGAGGACTGGCTATGGGTATGGGTGCGGGTTGTCGGACCCTGGGGAGCGCTCCCGTTCGAGCGGGGACCCCCATCCGACAACACGCACCCATAGCCCTCTCCGATCCCCCTATGGGTATGGGTGTGTGTTGTTGGTTCGTCAATCGTGGCCTTCGGCCAGACGGGGTCGTGGACAGGAGGCCCTGTTGGGAGGCCTGTTGGGGTCTCTAGGGGCTCCTCGGGGGGTGTCTTGGGAACCTCTTGGGGGCCTCTTGGGGGCCTCTTGGGGGCCTGCTGGCGGTCTCGGGGGCCATCTTCGAGGGAATGGGCTCCAAGCTGCAGTTCGGATTCCTCTTTGGGCGCCTCTGGAGCACCCTTGGGGGGCTTCTTGGGCTGTCTTGTGGCCCTTTTGGCCATCTTGTGACCCTCCTTGGGCTACCTTGGGGCGATATTGGGGGCCTCCTGGGCCGTCCTGGGGGGTCAGCAGCACGACAAGGCGATGACGCGAGCGTCCTTCAAAAACCTCAGGAATGTCAAAGATTGACACTCCTCGGCGTTTTGGAGGCATCTCGGGTTATTCAGAGATTATCTTGGGCGTCTTTGAGCGCTCTGGGGCCGTCTCGGACCATCTTCAACTTTCTTGGAGGTCTCTTCTGGCCTCCTGGGGGGCCAGAAGGCCGCACTCATGAGCGAAGACACCATGTCTGGCCCGACTCGGGCGTGGAGTGGGCAGGGTATTGTTCGTCTGGGGACCCCCAGGGGCGGCCCCGCGCGCGCGAACTAGCAATAGTCCCGACCTGTCAACCAGAAATCTTAGCACGTCTCTTGGCCGTTAGGCCAGCGAATTCCTGTCGTCACGCCCACGTTGTGTGCCTTCAGTAGACATGGACCTCCGCAGGATTGGTCCCCGGAGACCACTTTCGGGCCCCAGGGTGGGGCCCGAAGATAGAATAGACAATCCATCGGATGGTTGGGAATGCCCTGAGACTAGCAGCCAAGGCCCGGCTTGAGTTGCTTTGGAGAATGCTGGGAAGGGGTGCGGTGGCCGTATTCGAGTTTGTCTTGACAAGGGAAGAACTACTCAGACCTTTTCGAGTCGAGGAATAGTGACGGGATGTTTTGAGAATTGTCTGCCTCTGGTGGCATTTACCAGCCCCCAGAATGGAAAAAGTGCCTTGGGAAAGGGGTCGAAACCTGTGAGGGTCCACGTCGTGAAACAAATCGCGACTCCTGATGTCTGGACAGTCCCACTTCGGAGCAGTACGCGAACTAGCGTGGGATTCCATAGCCATAGCTCAGGGCTTAAATCCGATCGGCTTTCGAGCTATGGCATCGTCGGAGCTGGCCAGCTCTGTGAGTGCTTCGAGTACTGACGAGGATGACACAGACCCCATGCTGGAGATGCAGCTGGATGCCGTCGCTGACAATTGCGAGGACTTCTTGATCAACCGGCTTGACGAGGCAGAGACTCATCTGGACTATTACCAGAACCGCGAAATCATCGTGGACTATTTGATGACGGCGCGGGACCTGATCTCGAGGACGATGACCAGCGATAGCGTGGGGTGCGTGTTCGGCGGCGATTGCACACGCATCGCTCGGTTGAGGGCCCTGTTTGGCGCCTTGGAGCAGTTTGAGCCGCAGCACCAGGTCGTGAGCGCGGGCTTGGCTGCTTGTGGCATGGTCGAGTGCATGCTCCGAGGCCAGGGCTTGTCCTCGCAGCTCGAAGGGCAGAACGTGCACGCGCGCGAGCGTCTGCAGGCCCTGCGGAACGCGAGGCGCGCGCGGCAGCATGCCCTCACCCAGGCCCTGGCTGGGGCCCAGCCTGGAACCACGGGGCAAGCCCCCTGGCAGCGCCGTGACGGGCCCGAGGGTCAGCGACATGGCGAAGACAAGGAGCAGCTCCGAGGCCCCGTCCCGCCCGCGCCCGCGGCGCCGCCCCCCGGCCCGCCGCCGGCCCACGCGCCTGCGCCAGAGGCCCCGCCGGCCCCCGCTCGCCCGGCGCCCGTGCCCGTGGAGCGGCCGCCGGGCGTCTTCCGGCCCAAGCCCGCCGCGCCAGGCCCCAGGGCGGCTCCGGGCCCGCGGCTCGCGCAGCCGCCCACCAAGGCGGCCGCCGCCCCGCCGCCGCAGCAGGCCGCCCCGCCGCCGCCGCACAAGGCCGCTCCGCCGCCGCAGAAGGAGGGCCTGGTTATGACATTCCAACCTTGCATTATGACATTCCAACTTTGCAATCTTTGCGAGGAGGATCAAGCAGTGGCGACGCGTCCCGGCTCGCCTATAGCCCTACCAAACAGTGTTCCAAGAGCCTTTTTGTTGTTTCCAGAAAATGTTCTTAGAACATTTCTGGCTGGGACTGTCTTACTTTAACACATCGGGAATATGTTCTAAGAACATTGTTTTTGTTCTTCGAACACTGTTGGGTTCTAAGAACATTTCGTGGTAGCACTATAGGAATGCCGGGACGGTCGGTCCGTGCTCAAGAGGAGGAGGGGGAGGAGGAGGAGGAGGAGGAGGAGGAGGAGGAGGAGGAGGACGAGGAGGAGGAGGAGGAAAGGGGGAAGAAGGGGAGGAGGAGGAGGAGGGAAGGAGGAGAGGAAGGAGGAGGAGGAGGAGGAGGAGAGGAGGAGGAGGAGGAGGAGGCGGAGGAGGAGGATGAGGAGGAGGAGAGGAGTGAATTGCGAGGCAGTCTCAGGCAGCCAGGCCCTATACAAGTGATTTGGAGGCTTCTCCATCTCCTCCTCCTCCTCCTCCTCTTCCTCCTTTTCCTCCTCCTCTTCCACTTCCCCCCCCCCTGTCTCCCTCACCCACCTCTTCTTTCTACAAAAGGCTACACACAGCGCACACGATCCAGGTTCTCTCGATGGCTTCCAGCAGTAGCTTCCACGACAGGCAGTCAAACAATACATCGCAGCGACTAGTAATTTAAGCCAGAGGCTGCGGGCGCTACTTTACATTATAACAAGTGGGTCGCTAGATTACTTATAACCAGCAAGTTTCCGCTTCCTCCTCCGCGTTAGGCCTCTGGGGGGCCTTTTGGGAGCCTCTTGGAGGCCTTTTGGGGCCTGTTGGGGACTTCTGGGGGGTTCCAGGGCCGACTCGCGAAGGTAGGCAGCTGCACGTTTCAAGGCCCATGGCTCCTTCTCGATCTCGCGAGCGGTGGTCAGGTACTTCGTCTGCTGCTGAGGCGGGACCTCATTCCTGGGGTTGACATCAGTAGGAGCAGCACTCCCCAGCTTGTGCAAGACTTTGTGCGGGATGAACAGGACCGGCATCTGGAAGAGCTGCGTATCACGCATGGAAGCTCTGGTGAGCAATATTACGTCGTCCGGATGGTCCTCCACGTCGATGCCCCACCCACCTCTTGATACGATCAAGTCTGTGACCCCGTCTTCGACTAAGTGGCTGCGCCTGACCAGCATGAATTGGTGTGGCGCCTTTGGCCCAGTATGCCCATGTAACTCCATACCCATGTTGTCCAATAATGATTTCCAATCCCGAGTCCCATCAACAACGGTGCAAGACAGATTCGTCTCGAACGGCTGCTCGATGGCAAGCTTGAGGTCTTGGATTGTCTCCATCACGCCATTTCTGGCGAGGCGAG